TTTAACACACCACTCAAGAGAATTAATACAGCACAACTTTCTAACATCACACATACAATATTCACTGTATTATCTGTGAAAAGCCAATAATAACGCGTGCATTTTCCGCAGCGCCGAAGCGCCGCGCGGGCTGTGCGCGGAGCCCTCAGCGCCTGAGGAGCCGAGCGATGGCTCCATGACCCACCTCTCTCACGGTGGGTCTCCCACGCCTCCAGCCGGGCGGCGGGGCAGGAATCAGCCCGGGGCCCGTCCCGTCAGCGCTGTGTTTGCCCGCGATGCCGCGGCGGCGGGGCGGGGCCGGAACCGCCGGGGCCGGAACCGCCGGGGCCGGAACCGCCGGGGCCGGAACCGCCGGGGCCGGAACCGCCGGGGCCGGAACCGCCGGGGCCGGAACCGCCGGAAGGGGCCGCGCTGGCGGAAGGGGCCGCGCAGGAAGCGGGGCCGGCGCTGCCCCGCGGCCGCGACCGGGGCGAGGGGAGCCGGGCAGGTAGGGCACCCGGGCACCCGGGCACCCGGGAGCCAGGGCAGCCAGGGGAGCCGGGCACGGGGACGCGGCCGGCTCGGCCCGCGGAGAGGGAGCCGCAGGCCGCCGCCGCCCGGCCCCGCTGTCACGGGCCTCTCCCGCTGTCACAGGCCTCCCCCTGGGAGTGAACGGGGAGACCTGGTTCAACCCGGTTCAACCTCGTTAAACCTCGTTAACCCCGCTTTCCCTTCTTCCCTTCTTCCCTTCCCTGTGCTTATCCGGGCACAAATCACCGCGTCCTGCCGTTTTGCCCCGCTCCGGGAGCGCCCCTCGGTGCCGGCGCTGGCCAGGCCGGCCCTGGCTGCTCTCGCCGCGTTTTTCCTCATTTTTCGCTGCTGCGGAGTCTCCCCGTGGTTCTTTAAGCTTTTCAAGGTCCGTGGGGTGTTTACTTATCAAGAATAGGGCACGTCCAGTTGTTGTTTCATGCGACGCTCGCTGTCGGGAATAATTGGAGGTGGGGGCCGCAAAATCCCGTTTGGTCTATTGAATAGATAAAGATCTTTCTGCTGTGTAAGAAAGAGCTTATTTTATTGTCTTTTATTTTTAAATAAGAGAGCTCTTTTATTGTCTTTTATTTTTAAATGGGGTCAGCTCGCTGATGTAGAATGAGGTGTTAGAGCTGTGCTCATTAGCTCAGGATAACCCCAGGAGGAGATTTTATTGTGCAGAAACTGCAGACTCATGGAGACAAATCCTTCTTTTCCCCCTTTGTGGCAGGAGCGGGTTGTGCTGATGTCATTTGTGTCTTGCAGGATTTTTGCTGCTTTGGTGGTTAATATTTTGATTTCTTTTGCCTTCTGCTGTTACCTTTCCTCCTGGATTGTTCCCAGCATGTGGCTGTGCCAGCCTGGAAGGTTTTAGGTTGTGTTGTAACCCTCTCTTCAAATTGAGTTATCCCCAGGTGACTGGGGGTTGATGTTTTCCCGGAAATTCAGTCTATAAATAGTTAATTTTGGGATTTCCGAGGTCGATCACCCCAAACTGAGCCCTTCCAGCCTGTCCCAAAAAGAGCAACGAGCTCAGGGTCTTCACTTCTGGCTGGAGAATTCCTCTAATGCAGAGGAGCAGAGAGCCATTCAAACAATAAATCCATTGGGGATTTATAGTTTGAATATCCCCCTTTAAAATAAAACAGTGGCAACGTGCAGTTAGCAATTTAAGATGCACCCAAAATATGTGGAACCATGGGTTTTGCTGTAATTACATCACAGTGAAGCTGTCAGTATTTCAAATTTTGGCATCACAGGGAGGCTGCAGTGGAGGCCTTGCTCAAAGCTTTTCCAAAATCTGCCTTTTTTTACCAGTTGTTTTTCCTCCATCCCTCTGAATTTTGGCATCTGACCTGTTAAACCCAGGTTCACTGAGCTGCTGATACTTTGCCCTCCTCGTTCTTGTCCTTGTGTTAGAATAAAACAAATCTTTGCCAGGTACAGTAGTGAAAGGATCTCTCAGCATCTGTAGAAGGTGATTTTCTGTTGGCATGGAGTTAATCTTTCTTTTAGTTGCTTGTTTGTTGCTTCTTATGGTAATTGTGGATGTTTTTCCATGAAGCACTGCAGGGTGGAGGGCAGAGCTCGGGAGGGAGCAGAGGATCCTGCACACTGCTTCCAGTGACTCCCAGTTTTTCTGTGCCTTTGAGCTGTAACTTGGCAACCTGAATATTTTTCTTGGTGTTCTCACCTTGAAGAGGAGCTGGTTTGAGGGCTTTTCATGGGGCATTTTTGGAGAGTCATCAGCAGCAGCCCGTTTTTTCCAAAAGGAAAAATAAATCATTTTCATGCCAGACGGACTTTGAACTTTTATTTTGCACTGGAACGTTGTAGTTGGTGCGGAGCTGGTGATCTCTGCACAGCTTCCCTGTGACTGCCTTGATCTCAGGGTGGGATCTCTGAAGGTTTTTTATTCATAAAAAGAACTGATCTCTGGTTAAACCTGGGTTTAACCAGGTTTAGCCAGGTTTTAACTCCCTCAGTTGAGAGGGTTTGTCTGATAATCCTCAGGTTTTGTCTGAGTCCTTCTGTCTAATCAAACCACAACTTGTTTTTTGCAGCTTCACTGCTGTTCCTCCCTCTGCTCTGTCCCTTCTGTGTTTCAGTTGCCTGAATTTCGTGACTCTGTGCCCATTTCCTCCCAGCAGAGCTCGCAGCAGAGATGGGGCCCCGGCGGAAAACTGTGAAAGCAGCGAGCAGGGAAAGGGCAGAGTCTACCAAAGCTGAGGAGCCAAAAGATTACATGAACCAACTCTCTCATGAAGTGCTTTGCCACATCTTTAGGTGAGCAGCCTGGCAGAAATCAGTTTATTGCTTCTTATTTTAGAGTTCTTTATTTTTTTTCTCCAATTTGTCCTGTTTGTGACGCAGTAAACAGTGGACGTACCATAAGCGGAGTGGTGGATAAAAAGGGATGACAAATGTTTTTTTCAGTCTCCAAAATTCATTTGGAAACTGAAAATGAATTCATTTGAGTGTCATGAATGTTAGAATGAAGAAGAAATAAGTAAGTGATTTAATTATGTTATAAATACTGATTTTAGAGCAGAAATACACTTTTGGGTAGGGCACAGTGGAGGTAACTGTTTGAGAATTGTTGTATTTGCAGAAGGGATCTGGGATGAGGATGTGACCTCCCACCAGCAAAGTCCTTCTCCCAGATGTTCACTCACCCTATTATCCAAAATATAATGCCTCACCCACAAGTTCTTAGAAAACAGCAGGTCTCCAAAATATTTGGAAATTGAGCTTGCAGTATGTGCTAAAAAAGAAAGTAACTTAATCAAACTTGTTGAGGGAAATGGCTTGGTCAGCAGGGTTTGGGCTGGTTTACATTAACTTTAAGGAGGGAATTGTTCCTTGTGAGGGTGGGCAGCCCTGGCACAGGGTGCCCAGAGCAGCTGGGGCTGCCCCTGGATCCCTGGCAGTGCCCAAGCCAGGCTGGATGGGCTTTAAGGTCCCTTCCAACCCGAACACTGAGTGATTCTATGATAGGCCAGAGAACCAAGTGATCTGTGCATTTAATATTCCAATTGTGTGACTGTTCCACAGTGTCAGGAGCTGCTGAGTCACTGCTCGGCAAAACTCCTGACGTACCGTGAGCCTGGCCGGGCGATTCCGCGTCAGCGAGCGTCCTGCCATGGGAGCAAGGCCCCGCTGCTGCAGCCAGGCTGTGCTTTGGGACAGCTGGAGGCTGCAGCAGGGGCTGTTTCTGCTGTCCCCAGGTACCTGCCCTTGCAGGACATCATGTGCATGGAGTGCCTGTCACGGAAGCTGAAGGAGGCGGTGACGCTGTACCTGCGCGTGGTCAAGGTGGTGGATCTGTGTGCGGGGCGTTGGTGGGAGTACATGCCCACAGGTGAGCTGCTCCCTGCCCCTCACCTCTGCACAATGAGCCTGCCCTGCCTTGGCTCTTCCCTTCTTTGCCTGGCTGCCCTTGCCAAGTCTCTGCGTGCAAACACAAATTTGGCGTGTTGCTGTATTAGGTCGTAGGTTGGTAATGGTCATAGGTTGGTGACTTGATGATCTCAAAGGTCTTTTCCAAGCCAGTTCAGTCTTTGATTCTGTGATTGGGAGTGCTCTGTCAATACAATCTGTGTTTGTCTGATTGTTGGAGGGGAGTTTATCCAGGGGTTATGCCACGAGGAGGCTGTTTGCATGCAGGCAGCAAAAAATACAATGGAGTGAGAGAGCAACTCATCTGCCAGCACTTAACAATGTAAGGATAAGTTTGGATGTCAGACCTTAAGCCACCTGCAGATCAATAGATAAATTTGTCAGTCTGGGTGAACCCTGTGAGTACCAGTATTTCTGTTGGGTTTAAATTACACTGCTGTGATTTGGTGGGGGACACAGCTAAAATGAGGGAATTCTGAAAATGAGAGGATTTGCAAATTGAGATTGGCTATGGCTGGTATTAAGCAGATGTTTAGACCTAACCTAAAACTGGTGTAAGTACAAGTAACTTACCCAGTTAAAATCTTTTTTATATGCTGTCTTTCACTAGAATAAAATAAAGCTTTGCTTTAAGAAACCATCCTGTTTCTGTGAGAAGTGTGAGTTGTGGTGAATAGTGAACTAAGGGATCCAGCTGGGATTTTTTTTAGCTATGGAGTTGATAAATGGAATTCCAGGAAAAATAGATCCACAAAGCTTCCTGTGAGGAGGGAGAGAACACAGTGAAACCTGCAGCCATGCAGCTCCTCCGAAGGAAAACTGTAGCAAGCCTGCAAAATTCAAGGCAGAGGAGTATTTAGGTCATGATTTTTAGAATGTGGAAGTAAAAGAAAAGCTGTTGCTTCACCAAGTGCGTCTTTTCAACATCGCAGAACTTGTACTGCCACATAAAGAGAGAAGTGTGTTTGGCTTTCCCTTCAGAGCCGAGTCTCTGCTGCCACACCAATACCAAATGTGTTGTTGTTGTCTTAGGTTTCACTGATTCCAGCTTCCTAACGCTGCTGAGGAAGATGCCAGACATTGAACAACTTTATGGTCTTCATCCCAGGTATCTGGAAAGGCGCCGAGTCCGTGGCCACGAAGCTTTCAGCATCCCTGGAGTTTTAGAGGCTTTGCAGGCCTGTCCAAATTTGCTGGTGAGTGGCTGGACTTGGGAGAGAACCTCCTTCAGCACTGTTAAAAATTGTGCCAGGGACTTGGTGCTTCCAGGGCTTTGGTTTAGGCCTGGCTGCACAGGGAGAAGTTAATTAATTGTGACCCTGTTTGCTGATGACAACTATTTTTAGTTGCACCACTGGGAATCCCAGGTGCTCTTAAGCCCAGCAAGGAATTAAAGCT